CCTAGGGGTTTTTAAAACTCACTTCTTCTCTCTGGCCTTCTAGTCAGAGCGGAGCACGACTCCTGACATTTCCCTGTGTTTGATTTTTTAATTTTTGCTGTTGTATTTGTTGTAAAGTGTATTTGTTGTAAAGTGTTTTTATTGTATGTACAGCACTTTGGCTCGACCAAAAATTGTTTTAAAAATGTGCTATATAAATAAAACTTGATTTGATTTGATCCAATCAATAACAATGACAGTTCAAGATTGGAAAACAAGCAGTATTTGTTTAAACATTTTGGCCTTATTCCTGTTTTTGAGACCTTTCAGTTGTAGGACCAGAGGCAACAGAAACTCTGACAGAAACTCATTAAATATGTGCACATTTGATCTTTCACTTGATTCTTATTTCTGTTGAGATATATATTTCCTCAGCTGCCAATGACTAGAGGCCAGTGGAGGGAGAAGTGAAACAAATCTGAGAAAAAATCACTAGCTTCCTCCATGAGACATAGACATGTTTTGCTTTAGTCAACTCATGGTGGAGTCACAACACAAGTCAGAAGTGACACCCTGCAACACAACAGAACATACAAGGTGATCAAACACAATGGTTTTCCGTTATTCCCCTGACCCTATTTTACAAATCTCTTGACTGTCCTGTCGATCTGTTTTCTGAAATGTCTTTGATCCGTTTGGAAATATCTCAACAATTATAGGATGGAAAACCATGACATGTGGTTAAGAAAGTCATAGTCTCCATAGGATTAATACTTCTGAGTTTGGTGATCCTCTGATTTTTTTTCTTCTCAGCATCATCTTCATTGTGGTTCCAGTCAGCAAGATCATTTATTATCATATTAAGAATAGATAGTTATTTCATGGAACTACACTAGTATTGGTTTAATACCTAATTAGTGGTATAGTAATAATAATAAAGCTTTATTTATATAGCACTTTTCATACAACACGTGCTGCTCAAAGTGCTTTACAAAAGGACGTTAAAAACAAACAAAGAATTCCCGTCAGATTATTTGTTAAGACCTTTAAAAAGGTACATGCAGCAAAATATAACATTTGATCAGGTTAATAGACACAACGAGGTAAAATGTATGATAATTAAAATAAAATAATTAATGGTTTCTCTCTGATAGATTAGACACAAGACAACTGAGTCGGTGCAACAATATAAATTATATAAAACAAAGTGAACATATAGGTACAACAGAAATAAAAAGATTAAGACCTATAAAAGAAATAAAACAATATAAAGTTAGGTAAATAATAAAGACTAAAAGAACATTTAAAGTGGGAGGTTGCTAATAAAAAGCTAGTGACATCCTCAGCCCTGTGACGTGTGCGGTTTTCCAACAATGCTGGTTAAATGTATGTTATGAAACATTGTCCTTTGTAGAAATGTAGACAAACAACACACCACTAAAAGCTGGTTCCTTGATTATATAATTTTGTTCAGCACAGATTCTCAACTCATCTGTTATGACAACTATGACAAAAATGAACCTGATAACCTGAAGTCAAAACTGTGATGATCCCACATCTGGATCAATTACACAAGATCAACTTTTTGCTGTCAGCGCACACAGGTGTGAACACATTACACACAAATGAACACCAATAAAAAGAAGAGCTGAAAGCAGGAGAAGAAAAAATATCTTTACCTGCAGAACAGGTATTCAAAAACACACCCACAATTCAACAGAAGATACCTTTGTCACATAGAGACACATACAAATCTACAACACACAATCTTCCTTTCGCGTCAAAACAAGTCTAAACCACATGTCTGAAATTCCTCCTGACCGAGATGTGTGAGCTGATGATTTGTACTTGAGAGTTTGAGCGTATTGCACCTCCATTCATGCTGAAGTGCATTTACACCCTTCCTGTTACTCTAGCTCTCTTTTAGACACCGCTGTTCACAACTATCAAACTTTTCTCCCTCCCTAGGTATTATAAGGACAAGAATATCAACAAACCGCATATCGAGGCATATTCATGTGTGTTGAAAAGTGGAGATTTGTTAGGTTAAAACTACTCTTAACCGATTGAACTGTGAAGTAAGTCTTAACAAGCTGAAATACAGTTATAAAATGCTGTTTAAACAACGCCTATGCAGTCAACATCTACCCAGTTTAATCGTGTTCTGACCTGAAAGTTACCAAACCAAGTCTTGCTGCAAACATGTTCAAACAAACCTCGCCATTGAGTATAAAAGTGTAAAGCATTCAGGACAAACAGCAGTTGTGATTATTTAAAGCTCCAGATCAGCTTCTAATGGACCTTGAAGTAACACTGTTTTACCAATATAATCATTATTATTTATAGTTCACTTGTGTCTTTACCTGAATCAATTAGGAAAAATTAAAGAAAAGAAAACCCAATAACACTGTTTTCTATTCGTCGCCCCAGTGGGGTCAAAGTCTTTTATTTAAATGCTGCCTCAACAGCATTTAAGGGTTAATATGTAAAGTAGGGCTGCAACTAATGATTATTTTTAACTATAGCTTTATCTATCATTCAGATTTAGAGTTGTCTTTAATAATAACACTGAACATAACAAGACCCATTCACAAAATCCTCAAATCTGGTACATTATCTTTTTACTTCTTGTAGCTTCAATGAAACCAGTGATGACTTATTTCCAACTATTTTCTTAGGAAAGGTCCAAAAAATTATATAATTGTGAGGAAAAAAAAGCTCATTCAACACTTTGAGATAGACACTGCAGTAGCCATTAAAATGAAATGTGTAAACAAACTCACAATTCAACCATTTTGATTGAACTAAGTTAGCCAAATTGCAACTTTGTGTTTTCGATTAATCTGCTAATAAAACAAATAGTTTTATCAGTGTTATAATTAACACATTAAACTGTTCATGCACTGGAAGTAAACTGGAGGCATTGTGTACTCGTCATCAATGGTCCTATTATTGTTAAGCCTTTGCACACACACACCGGTTGTTTTTTTTTTACTTACTGATGATATTTAGTCAAATACAACGAACAACGGAGCTCTTTTTCTTGCCGTCAGAAAGTTGCCAACATTAGGTTTTCTAGCGGGCATGTTTGGAGTATATGCAAAACCTGATATTTGTTTTGCTGCTATCCGAATACAAGACTGCAGTAGACTGCTTCCATCCTGCAGTATGACCAAGGTCTAACAAATGTAACCAAACTTTTATGAATTATTCTCCAATTCATCCTAATGACAGAAATCAAATTCTATACATAAGAAGTGTTTGAAAGTTCTGAAAAGTCAGTGGTTTCTGAGTTGACCTTTTTGATTGATTGAATCATTCAATCCCTGATTAGCTCCTTTCTATATTTGCAATGTGATCAATAATCACTGACTCACAAACAACCGTTGTTGCTTAAGATGTCGTCTATGAATTTAAGAGTTATCGCTTAACTGTTGGAAACTCACTACGAAACCCGAGCCGACAGCAGCTCTACCTGTGCAGGGCTCAGATTGTTCTGTGCTCTCTGCTCAGGTTCATTTACCACACACTAATTCACTACAGACTCAGAGGCTGTGTGTGCACTCACTCAAGCACATAAGATGATCATCTTTTCTACCCCCAATGCATTTCCTGTGAAACCACCAGAGTTACTGACAAGCCTGTAGCCCCGTGAGAATAGGGGACTTTGTATCGCTTTTAAATTACACAACTCTTCCCAGTCAATGCTGTCTGAAGAGCAAAATGTTGAAACTTGTGGTCGTTTTCTTCTTAAAGGAATACTTCGCATACAAAATGACCATTATAATATCAATGACTTTGCATTGCTGTATGAGGACTAAAAACAGTTTAATGGTAAAACTAGATCTTAACATCCATGTACAAACTCTCAAACAACTCCTGCAGTATAATCCAAGTCTTGTCCATGCATGTTCTTCCCAAACAAACAAAAAAAACACTCCTACAACTCAGAGATCCAACACCAGCGCAAACATGAGATTTCTCAAAGGAGTGTTATAAATAGTACCTTTTTAGCAAAAAGCATGTGTTTGGAGAGAAGCAATACATAAATGAGACTTGGATAGCACTGCAGTTGTTGTGAGACTGTTTGTATAAAGATGGTTGGATATAGCTTTGTTGTTGTAATTGCAGCACCTATTTCCTAAAAGGCCTTTCTCTGATTTTCTGACTCTCCATTTACCATGGAGGCATGCAACTAAAACAGTATTCTTAAAGAATTCAACTTACACGGGTAAAGAAATTATATATAATTGATCATTTAGTTGGTGGAGTATTTCTTTAACAAAGAGCACAATGTGGAAACTGTGGTAATTCTGTTCCTGACCTCACATGGTGGGTCACATGACTGCAGCCAGATGAGTTGGGGTGGGTGTCTGAGATGGATGAGTGAAGAGGGGGAAGTGATACCAACATTTACTGCATTATTGCAACATGCATGTGGTTGAGGGGGGGTCACTATGTTGCTGCAAGGGGGCTGTTTATGAAACCATTTTGTGTAGAGGTCCGTGTCTATACTCCCACCCGTTACAACAACCAGCCGCCCACCCACACACACTCAAACACATCACATCCCACCCACACACACACACAAACCCACCATCTTACAATTCCAATCAGATGTCAGGCTCGATGTAAAAAGCTTGAGAAAACTAACTTCCTGGTCTGTCTTCCTCCCATTTCTCCTCGGCCAACACCAGACATCTCAGCTTTCAGTACTCCGCCGACTCTTCTACTCTTACATCTCACACTGACTGTCTCACCGTTGGCAAGCACCTGCTTTGAGTTTGACACCTGCCTGCCAACACAGCATGCCGTCAACGAAAAAGCACAACAGGTCATTCTAAACAGTGTGCAGACCTGAAGCCCTGAACACAACAAAAGACACACACACACACACACACACACACACACACACACACACACACACATATATAGCAACACTCCTTCAGACAGGGAACATCCGTCCACACACCCACAGCCATATGCAGCAGAGGGATTTGTGAATGAGCCACTGCTCTTACCTTGGCACTGGAATCCCTGCTTCCCAAAGCCCCTGTGGACAGAAGACAGGGATGTGAAATTCAGGGAATGCACAAGAGATGCACAGACAATGACTTATGCACACACACATGCAGATATCGAATCACACATGGACACACACATCAACACAGACACATTAACACACACACACACACACACACACACAGCTGCAGCCGCAACAGTGGGGCCCTGTGTCTCTGTGTCTCCAGCTGCATTCCTCCACCAGACCTCCAGTTTCAGAGATGGGTCGATGCGGTAAACGCCGCCGAGCAGCAGTGACTGCTCTGCGGCTGCCGAAAACACATCTCCCCCTGAAAGGCCCGCGGTCCTGTCGCATTGTGGGAAACTGGGGGAATGGCGCATCGCAGTGTTTGTGACAATGACAATGAATGAAACACTGCGTTGCCTGAACACTGTCAGTGTGGAAGGAGGCCGAGCAGAGCCGCAGCAGCAGCAAGTGAATCACCTGTGTGCTCTCCCACCTCTCTCACACTCACCAGATGAAGTCCGTGCAGTGGCTGCAGAAGGTGGGCTGCTTGAAGAAGCGCGCGATGAACTTGTGGTTCTTCACCTCGTGCACATTCTTCTGGCGGAGGGCTCCCTGCCGGGCGAAGCCGCGCGCGCTCTCCGGTACCTCTCCGTCGCTGCCGGGGTCAGCCATCTTAACGAGGAAGCGGCGACGGTCCGAGAGGAACGAGAGGTGAGGGGAGCGGCGAGAGAGAGGGAGAGACCAACGAGTTGCCGTGCAGGTGCCTCCTCCTCCTCCTCTCCGCCCCGCTGTGCGCCTCCGTGTCGCTCGTGCTGCCGGTGGATGGTCGGTGTGCGTCCAGTGCGCGCTATAGCTGCTGCTGATGCTTCTTCCGGCGGGTCCCCGTGCCGCGCGCCTGCTTCCCTGTTCCAACCAGTATATGGGTTCTCACCAGTGTGTTTCTGCTCACAACCAACTCTCCTCTCTCTCCTCTCTCTCTCTCTCTCTCTCTCTCTCTCTCTCTCTCTCTCTCTCTCTCTCTCTCTCTCTCTCTCTCTCTCTCTCTCTCTCTCTCTCTCTCTCTCTCTCTTCCCCTCTCATCCCTCTCTCTCTCTTTCTGAAATTCAAAGGAGCTTTAATATTGGCATGGCCATATCAGAAACCTTGTTTTGCCAAATAATGTTCCACAAGGTGTTCCACAACAAAATGAATAGAAAAATAAGAACACGATACATGTGGCACAACAGCAAAACATTAAACACTTACCAACAATAACATGTCATTAAAAATCAAAGAAAGTGTGAATCTCCAGGAAATCAACCTCAGTCAATGTGAAGTCCTCTGGCCCAGAGATTGTGGCAGGTAAGAACATATTGCCAGACTGCAGCTCTCTGTGTGCTCTCCTAACAGATTGGAATGTTGTGGATGTTTGTCATGGTCAAACTCAGGGGGAATATTTTTGTTAGAATTGTCACATGACATGAGTGAGCAGATGTTTTTCTTACAAACTATTAAAGCAATAGTTGTTAACCAAGTCAAACCACAAGTGCTGCATACTTTCAGTGGAGTATGACTTTAGGGGACGCGCACACACCCACAGGGCTGGATCACTAACCTGAAATGGCTCTGATTTGGGGCCCCAGACTCAGGAGCCACCAAATCCCCAGGTTCAATTGGTCATTTAACTAATTGCAAATTGTTTAAGGATACATGTTCTTAATTATTATCTTTTGTGGACCTGTTTTTGGTGGCTTTGAAGAAAGTATATAAGGATGTCAGTAAAGTGTACATGTATACCGATAATGTTTCTTTTAAGTGGTTTAAATATAATTTGGTGCCCACCAAAGCAGTAGCTTTGCCATGCCATAACTCTGGTCTGTTTCTCCGAACAGTGGGCATGAATGACAACTGCCATATGCTGTTGGTAATACACTAGATCTGTGCCTCATACAATCCCACTTCTAGACTATCGCTTTGTTTTATTAAAAGCTCTGCCGATCCAGGTGCTGTATGTGTACGTAGGAGGTTGTGTGTGAATGATCTGAACCTGTTATGTTGCAGGTTTAATGTACGAAAAAGGTGTTCATCTCTCACCTGCCCACAACACCAAGCATTCCAGCATTCATAGTGTTTAGCTGCACATGTGCATTTTAGTGAAATTAATTGACATTACACATATAATGGTAACATTATATGCATATAAAAATCATATGCAAACGTTTTAATTGGTATATCAGACCCACTTTTACTCCTTCAATAAATGCTGTGACTATAAAAACATTTATCACTGGCTATCAGACTACTATAAACCTTATTTTATATAAACTGAATTTCTGACCAATTTTTGTATTCATAAATCTGTTTGTATGTTTCAAATCATTTGAAAACATTTGTTCTGGTCAGGTGATCATTATACAACATTTACAACAGATTTGTGTTAAATATACTATAATATATTAAAATATAGGCTACTGTATTACGTTTCTATCTTAATCTTCACAAACATTTTACAGATATTTCTGGGATATTCTTGCAAATGTATTTTTTTTTAATAGTTTGACAGTTTTCTGATCTGATATTTTACTAATTTTTCTTTGGGATATTTTACTGATAACTGATTTATTGAAAAGTATAAACATTTTGAACACTTTGAAATAAAACGCAATATAAACTTAACAAATGACAGAGTTACTGAAGATAATGAACAGAAAGAAAGACTCAGGTGCTTGAATGCTCTTTGCTGACCAAACCATCAAATGGATTACCGATGTTGAGCTATTTATATTTAATTGACTTCTCAAGTTTAAAAACAAGGCTGAGTTGAACTAAGTTAGCCAAAGTTGGTCATTGAACCTTTTTATTCAAAAATATTTGTATTCAAAAATCTTATCATCTTATTGTACCACTCTCAGGACTAAGAGATCCTTACTAAGATGTGTTTTAAAAGCTGTGAGAAACTTCTCCTAAGAGAAGAGGAGGGGTTAAGATCATGTTTTCATGAATGAACTTCCTCAAGTGGATTTGTTTCCATGTGACTGTACTGTAGTGTGCCAGTAAATGCAATAATAACTTTACTGCCTTTTAAAATGTGCTTTTAGAAATGTTATGCAAACTACTATAAACTTCTCTCAGACTTATGAACTATGTTTTGTGAATTACTCTCAGACCAAAATCATATTATAAAGTAAAGTATGGACTGCTGACAAAAAATGAACAGATGTTCTACCTAATAAATACTATGGGAGAACATATTTTTTGTTCACCAGATATGTAATTCATTAGAAACATTATTGATGTTGATGCATTTTTTAATTGCATTTTTGCCCCATCATGGCAAACTTGAGAAAATAGCTCAATCTAGTGGAAAATAGATAAAACTACAGTTTTGAAGCAAGGGCTCAAGATTGAAAAACTAATGTAATACATTGGATCAATTATGACCTTGCCAAAATATATGTCACATGCATCAACACAACCCAAAATGATCGTCAAGTTAAAACATTTCTAAGTCAAGAAATGTCTTTAGTGCTGCATTACAGTTATGTAAAGGATCTCAATGCTACAAATTGCATATGTCCTTTAGGAGGTTTGCCAAATGAAAAAGGTACTCTCCTCTAACATAAATATTAAGAACAATTTTAAAGAAATTATAAGAAACCTTTTTGAATCATAAAACATAGCGTCGATGTTAATAATGTAGTTCTGCTTCTAATTGACTGGGGGCCATACCTTCTCCTTAAAATGTAATTAGATAAGATTACTTTATTGTCATTACATAATGCAAGCAGAGTGTAACGAAATTAAGAGGGTCTAACCAGAGTGCAAACAGTCAGTTATATAGCCTACACATCTATCAGCAGTCTGGACAAAATAAATGATACAAGTAAAGGTATCTTATATGAACTTTAACATTGCGCCCTCTTGTGGCGGAACAGATGAATGTCAGGTACTGCAGTTTTGTATAACCAGCTGCAAGCCCCGCCCACCTGGCCGTGTTCTATTGGTCAATACTTCTCCATATACATACCTGATTGGACAGCATGGGCTGTTCGTCACAGTTCCCGGAACTAATGAAAACATTGTGTAAGTGTCTTGTCTTCATCTAAACAGTTCAGTAAGTACCTCTAAATGTTTATTTAAAAGAAGTCTGAGACTGTTGAGTGAGTGCTTGAGGAAGGCATTTCAATGATACGTAACATTTGCATTCAAACTGTCTCCAGATATGCCGGTGTCTCCTGTTAAAACGCGCATCCCCCTCACCAGTTTGGGTCATCTCATAACAGAGGTGAAGGTAAGCAGAGGGTTTGACTTTTGCATGTCCAGCCTGCAGTGTTGGGATGAAATCAAACAAGGGCTGTGAAGTAATGGAACGAAAATGCTTCTGTTAAGATTGACAACTCGATTGACTTGGCAAACATTGAGTTATTTGCATTCCCCTCTTATCGTAAAGACCTGTGTGTTACCATATGCTCTTGCATTGTATTTTTTATTTTCCTCTGATTTTTAAAACACAGGTGAAGCCACTTTCACTACCTGAAAGAAATATCCTTTTAGATTATATTTAGCTTGATCATAACATCTTAGATAAGATAAAGGCCTTTTGATCTCCAGAAACGACATTGAAACAGTCTAAAGGTAGAAATATATAAAGTAGGCTATAATAAAACAAATGGTTGTTCGAGAGTGTGGACTTTAAAAACGTTTAAAAGAAGGACATGGCATTATAAAGTGTTATATATGCACACTTTAATACAGGTAGTAGCCTATAAATATTGTATTAAAAAATAAATTAAAACTTGGATTTAGTAGACCTACACATTGAAGTTCTAGTTGAGACCAGCATCAGTCTGTCCACCCTGCCTGGGAAGATTGTATTTATTTCAGGAATGCAAGGAAGTCATAAAAAACGAATTACTGTCTACATGATTACTGTGACAAAAGTAATTGTTAATACTGTATATTAGCGTGATGTCTCTAGAAGATTTGCTAATAAAAACTGATATATGTCAGATTCCTCTTACCCCTTTTTTATTGTATGTTTGGTGTCTTTTTTTGGAACATAATTTCACTAATTTTTGTGCAGAGGGATTGCTGAGGGAGGGAAAGAAAGGAAAGAAACAAAAGTGATTTAAGAGGCACTTATTACATGATATTATCATATGTGTATTTTTAGCATCATATCAACAGATTTTTTTTTTAAGTATCACGTTGTCCCTCTGCAAACGTGTGTCAGGCTCACTAACGCTACCAGCAGATACGTGTGAAAGGCTCTGGTAGGTGACACTTCTTAACATTTGGAAAGAACCGGTAATGCAGCACTCTTATCACCTCCAACCTACATAATGCTAAGCTTATCCTCCACTGTCATGAGTGGCATGAATTGTTCCATCCAGCCTTTGGCAACAAAAACAATGTAGCACATGTGAGCTAATTTTGTATATTATTGCAAACATATTCTGTATTTACATCCTAAACCAGCAAACAATGATGTGATTATGTTTAAACATCTAGTTCTTCTGTAAGAAATTCCCTTGATCAAGACTCTAACTTTCACTCAATGTGTGTCTTCTGTATTTGTCTGTTGTAAATTGATTTACAATTTAAATTCACAATAAAAAAAGAGTACAGCTGCTGTTTTCTAAATGATTTGAACAGCCATCTTCCAACTCAGCATGCTCCAGTCAACAATGTAGTTTTAAATAGTTGAATATTTTTCCTCTCTGTTCTGATAATACCCACTGCAGAATAATTCAGCGTTACTGAGCAGAGCCGCCTCATCAGCACTCTGCTGGCGCCCCTGGCACACTTCATACAAGTGTAATGTTCATAATGGAAATGATTCCTCTTTTCACATGAGTCCTTATAGCCTGCATTCTCCCCCTCATGTGCTGTGATTCACTTGTTCCAGATGAACACTTCACTGCATTGATTCAGTGAAGTGTAAGACATTGTTACAATATGACAAGCATAAACTACATTTTTACAGAGGCTACTTTTTTAGTTTTTATTTAATATTGTTTATTGTGGTGTAGCAAACATAGATATCCTCTAAAGCAGGGTAATCCTCTGTATAAAACACACCTTTTTTTATATATGCATTCAACAAAGTTACTTGACATGCTAAAGAGTCAGCTTTAGGGGTGCTGCTGGTTTGGCTTATGCTAAGCTAAAGGTCTCCTGTTGCAGCTTAATATTTACTGTAAGGACATGAGAAAGTAATCCATTTTGCAAGATAATAGGCATTTTCCTGCAAATGTCAAACCAACATCCACATAGTACCAAGTCCATTTTAAATGCTAGCTTGAAAGAGGAATACACTTTAAACACATTAAATGTCCACTATTATACTGTTTTACATCAATATATTATAGGTCTCAGATATATACAAAACATGTCTCTGAATTGTTTGGCTCTGAACACCAAACAGATCATTGTAGCATCCCATAATCCCCTCTGTTTCAAAAGTGCTGATTCTCTGTCTGTTACTTTAGATGAAAATAAGGAGCCACTCCCCATGCCCCTCTGGGAGATATTTGGTTAAAAAACCACAATGGTGCTCTAGGAGGAGATTTGGGTGATAAGGGGGGTACCTTGGTTGGTGATTGGCTAATGGTTGCACAAGCCAAAAAAACGTTATGACATTAAGTGGCCAAAATCTGATCAGCTCATTTTCAGACAGGTTTTATATAAATGGATCGGGACAAAAAGTGAGCAAATCTTTTTTCCTGAAACTTTCAGAATCTCTTTACACAGAGGGGAAACATGTTTATGTATAAAAGACATGAAAAAGTGGATTTTTCATGATGGTCACCTTTAATGTTGCCATGCTTAAGATGAACATGTGTTCGTCATCATAACTGCCAGCAGTTATGAAAAAAGTCAAGCTTTATTGTGTTTTTGTTGCATCTATTTGAGAATTGAGATATTGAATTAATAAATAAATATATCAACTCAGCATTTGCAATCAAAGAAAAAAACTACAAAAATCTTCAACCAAAGGAAATGGCTGTGGTGGGTCTGGAGAAGGAGCTCTGTGCTGCCAGCAAGTCCAAAAGATTAGCTGGAGCTCCGGTTGATGAATAATTCAGTTTGTGTTTGTTGAATGTGACTTGAAAGAACATAAACCAGTGTTGCAGTCCTTTTTCACCATGCCACTCAAAATAACGCTTGTTTCAACATGCAAAGGTATTTATCTCAGCATCTCAAATGTCACTGACACTTAATAGAGAATTGTTTCACATTCGTTTTGACTCTGCACAGCTCTCACACTATCTGATGGGCTGGCATGGCGTTATAAACAAACCACATTCATTAAGCACTTTTCTTCCTTATTCAACAATAGTTTGCATTGTCACCCGGCAACAAAAACATTTGCACATTGATGGTGACTTGGGGTTCAGTCTTGTGATCATAAAACTACAAACTACGTGTTTAATGGACGACCTGTTATTTCTCCTGAGCCACATGCAACCCAGGGTTTATTGATGTTGTTTGGTTTTGTGGGTTTAACTGCTTTTTCCTTCATTTTGACTTGTGGGTTACTCTTTACTATATTATTTATGTCTTTGAATGTATATTGAGCCAACTTGCAATGAAATGTTGTTTGCAAACTACTTCACTATGTCTTTAATCTTTTCAAAACTACATTTGTATCATTATCCTGACAAATGTGCAAACACATCAAGTATTCTGGCTGCAGGGCTTTCTCTTATTGTTGTTTTTCTTTTGTGTGTGCATTTCAGAAGCAGCTGTTTGGTATTGAAGCCCCTGCTTCTTCGGAACTGACTGGTTTGAGGAAATACTTTAATAGCTACACTCTGCAGGGTCGCAGAAATGTACGTAATACACACAAATACACAGCACAGGCTGCATTCAATATGAACTTTTTAAAGTTTTTGCATATCAAGTCCCTCAGTCAGAAATGTGTCCTTCTCCTCTCTCTTGCAGTATGTCTTGGCTACTTATGGGGTCTTTGCTCTAACAGCAGCAGCCTACTGGATGCACCGACAACACAAAAAAGAAAACCAGGCGCCCAGCTCCACGGCCTGAAACATCAAACATTGTTTTCACTAATGATTCATTATAATATGAAGAAACCGAAGGGAACGATGTGACACTACCTCTGAGTGTGAGGACGTTTTAAGCTTTGTTAATAAAAAGCTTTGTGAATGCTCAGCACTGATTGATCGTTATTCAGAGATATAATGAGAAGTCAAGCTGGTAACCCTGGCATATGAGAGAGAGAGAGAGAGAGAGAGAGAGAGAGAGAGAGAGAGAGAGAGAGAGAGAGAGATATATAGAGAGAGAGAGATAGAGAGAGCGAGAGATAGAGCTATAGAGAGCGAGATATGAGATGAGTATCTCGCTCTAGCTCTCTCTCTCTCGCTCTGCTCTACTCTCTCGCTCTCTCCTCTCTCTCCTCTATCGCTTCTCTTCATCTCCTTCTCTCGTCTTCTTCTAGCTTCTCTCTTAGCCTTTTTCTCTCTCGCTCTCCGTCTCTTCTCTCGTCTTCTCTCTCCTCTCTCTCTCCTCCTCGTCAAACTCGCAGTATCGTCTCTCTCTCTCTCATCAGATCGTCTCTCTCTCTCTCTGGCTCTTAACTCTCTCTCTGCTCTCTTCACTACTCTGGTCTCGTGTTTTCTGCTTGGCTGCATCGTCTCTGCTCTGCCTTCGCCTCTCTTCTTCTTTGTCTTAATAAGCTAAACCACATTTATTTCTGTATATATAATGTTTATTCACCCAGTTTAAAACTAAGAATTACTTACTCCGATGACTATACCAGAAACCTACCTACTTTTATGGTCTTTTGTGTAACCCAACTAATTAATTACTAGATAACATATGCTCATAATTCGAAAGTTTTATGTGCTGGAAAAACCTTTACACTCATTAATGACATTTAAAATATTCAAACAAGTGGTTTAGATAAATAAATGGCTTATAAACTGCATGTAATGTAGGTTTGTTTGAGTGGGGCTCAATGCTTTCCTTTTGACCTCCTTTCTAGAAAAGTAGATTAGAATGCGAGTAATTAGAAATATGCCAAACACGTTCCATCGTTTTCATCTTTCACATTCACTTTGAGTGTTCAGATTGCAAATTCCGTCAATTTTTTATTCATTTCATTATACATTTTTGTGAATTTATCAGACATCGAATGTATAGGCTAATATTGCATATGTTATAAATTACATTTTAACACAGACACACACACACAAACGCACACACACAGAAGGCTACTGACAATCACGTGATTTAAAAGAAATCCAAAAGCGAAAGCAACAGCCACTGAGTGCGTGCGTGTGCCCGTGAACGTGCGTATCCATGTGTTCGGCTTTTGTGCGGGCGCGTGTCAATGAAACCCACATTGTGGAGCATGTAACAAGAAGTAGTTAAGTGTGTTAAAGTCTAAACTAAAGGATAACCATCCTGCGGTTTTAGAGAGCAGCCCCGCCCCCCACATTTCATACCGAAAGTAAAACTGTTTCTCCACAAAGAGCTGCGACCTCCCGGCAGGGAGAGGCCGATTGAAGCTCACTGCTGCCCGGACTCCACACGGCTCTGACGCTCAGTCACTGCAGGAAGGTAAGCTTTGTGCTCCATTCATGCATATTGAATTTAAAATGTTCTGTGTGCCATTAATGACAGATGATAGTCCTTCATTCATCTAAACTCATCAAAACTATAATCCCGAAACAGACTCATTCATCTGAATTGGAGGCTCTTTCTGTAGGCTACTGTATACAACTATAACTGAGATTTTAGTGGTTGATATAATTTACAGTTATACAACTATAACTGAGATTTTAGTGGTTGATATAAAGAGGCAAATTAACCAGTTTACATTTCCGTAGTTATAGAAAGCTAGACATCCTCCATTGTAATTTACATCTCATGTCACCTCATTAAAAATGTCATAAGGTGGAAACACAACATTATTTTTTAGTTTATTTTTTGCACTTTTTTGTGTCCACTATTTGTTCTGAACTCTTGAAGCTCTTGCATCAGTATTGATTTATTTAGTATTGACACACTATTTCACATTGTGCCTTTGGTACAGCTCACTGGATCTTAAGTGAAACAATGACTATGAAGCTGGAGTGCTGACAGACAGCTTTAACTTCGGGGAGTTAAAGGTCCCATGTCATGGCCATTTCTACTGATCATAATTCCATTGTTGAGTAGTAGCCTATTGTTATACTAAAATAGATTTATATTGTGCAATTTTCCAAACTCACATTGGATGTGTGGGCCCAGTGGCCGTCTGCGAGACAGCGAAACCCAGCCCGAAACCAGCCCGAGCACACACACACCCGCAGCCTGGCTGGGAGTTTGTGTACGTTGTTTAATGTATTTTAAAGCCCTATAATCTAAGTTATAGGAATATTAAAATGTATTTAACTGCCGTTCCCCTAAATAAAAGTGAAGTGCTTTAAAACATAAAAGCAAAGAGCATTTTTTCAGAAAACTGAAAAAGAGACAACACAAATTTGTATTTTACATGCATTTGCTTTTAATAACAAGCCACTATGTGAAATTATTTTGTATACGTATTGTATTAACTTGTTTAGTGATATGGGGAAATACACTTTTTTTTTCGTTTGCTTGAAAGTGAAAGCATATTCTCTGTCCCAGTGATTGATGATAATCAGGTGTTTGGTCTATCACATCGACACAGTGGAATGCAAGTTTTGCAATAGTATGCAGTTAATGATAATGTTATAGTAACACTATATCTAACGTTAAAGGGGTTGCTCTGAGTCATGATCCTAGAGAACATTTTAACCAGACTCTCCAGCTTTACTCAGCTTTGTAGTGAGTTTCAGCTCAGGACCACAACTTCTCTCTCACCACTTTTGTAGTATCATTTCCGATTGCAACAGACAGCTGTTTTATATCTCTTAAACTTACTCTACACTGCTTGCACCACAACGCACTGCAACGTAGTTTATGATTCATATTATTTAGGCTGTAACAAGCAAGACTCCAAATAAACGATCGTTTGGCTCTGTTACTGCTGGACGTGTAAATATGCAGCTGTTTCCTGATAAGTTTATCATATCTTTTTAAAGCTTGTGTCACCTCAGTGTGGCAGTGGGAGTTGTTAAAATGGGAAGGAGCAAAGTGAAGGAACAGCAGCTATCTGGAGTAGATGCTTAGAAAAAATAAGCATTCAGACAAGGATTACAGTTTTTAAAAAGTTGCATGGGAAGATTAAACTGCAAAGAAATTTTAATAATCCTCATTGTGTGAACTTATCTGGCAAGGGCTTGCATGTAACAGACATTCATTTATATGTGAAAATCCCACACTCCAGCTTTAAACTGTGATGATGTGTCAATGTTGTGTTCACAACTGGTGTCCTTTAATTTTAGGTTTAAGAGGATGTGAAAGTGCAGTAAAATGAAACATTTAGTCTGTGATTGTTCACCTTTTTGTGTTTCAGCTAATCAAGTTATTCGATGACAGATGGCTGTGCCTCTGCTCCCCTGAAAAACTTTGAGACAATGTTTTTAAATCTGGATTAAAGCAACAGGGAGTCTGAGAGAGAACGGAGAGGCAGATGACCGACCAGAAAGGAGTCAGGGATGGAGGATCTGCCAGTTACGAAAAGAGAAACTCGTGCAACAGGTGGTCAAAAGGAGGATTCTCCTTTGTAGGATGGTCAGAGACAATCTTGATAGGAAAGTAGTACAGAGCAGAAAACAGAACCACGCAGCAGACACGCAGAACCAAAGCCAACCCCCCGAGGAACCTGCAGCCCCAGAACGAGCCCGGAGCCCCGAGAGAGTTCAACCCGAGAGCCAAGGGCCGACCGAGAGGCAGCTCGATTTACTGCTCTGGCAAAAACTCAACTCAAATGGAGAACCAGGAAGCTTGTGCCAGGTTAGTACTCAACGTTTGCTCACTGTGGCTTTACTGCTCTGGGATAATGATTTTTAAACAGTGCACAGATGGCTGGAGAGAGATAAAGTCCAAAATTAAACAGCAGGATTTCATTATTAAAGGTAACATCAAAGAGGGGAAAGAATACAGATTTGTCTGTAGTATTAGGGCAAAAGCACAAGTATAAAGAAATAAGTCGAATGACAAATTTAGCAAAATGACTTCAGAATTATATATATTATAATTTTGTTTTTTTTATTGTGATGAATTAATAATAATAATAATGGGTTTAATTTGTAAAGCACTTTATATTTGACTTCAAATCCAGAAGTGCTACAAGCAGTGAGCATGAACAGTATAATATAACTATAATTTTTCAGCTGGTAAAGAAGAAGCAGGTTTTAACTCCTGGCGGCTAAATGTTATTATTTTTTTATGATAAATCTCATTTCTTATCTGAACTATTTATCAACTGAACCGAAAGTGAATACAGCTGATATTATGGCGGTATGCAAGCTAAAATTAGTTCCAGTCAAAGACTATGAAACTATGAAACAATGGTAAAAACGATACAGTATACTGCTGGAAAATCAAAACCTGATGTTTCTACTTTGTTTCACACACATGGAGCTGTTGCATTGAATTGGCATTTGATAATCAGGAGTTAAAAAACAAACACACAAACTCTCTGATGTTTTTGCTACGTCATCGTCTGGAATTATTTTCGACCGGAGTTTATCTTTGGACTTTGAATGTTGATATGGAAACTTTTCAGCCTCTTTTTTGTCGTTTTACAGCGCTGTCTAAAACAGGACCTCTAATCTACATGTTTTCAGTTACCATGCGTCTAGAATACTGCACTGTAATTTATTGTTTTTAGTATATATATTAATATAACACAAGTATGATTATTCTTAAAATATAGCATCTTTCAAAAATAAATATTAAAGTATGTCCATTAGTCAACTTTGATAGGATGGCACAAACTGATAAACCTAGTTAACCTATCACTGATTGTACTGTTAATACACAAACTACTTCAAATCCATTTTAGTTTCTGATACACCGCAAAGAGTTTTCTGCTTTATTGTCTTTCGTCTGTGACTAAAAACAATTTTGGCATTGACTTCAAACATGTCTACTTCTGTAGCCATTCCCTGGAGTGGATGCTGAGAGCTTGCCCACACACCTCTGTCCATTCAGCACCGCAGCAGAGTACAGATTAGTCAAACACACCTACCAGCAGCTCCAACACAGCGGCTACTACTGGGGATCAATGCCCATGGAGGAGGCACACGCAATACTCACACGGGCCCCACTTGGTACCTTCCTCATCAGGTAGCCTACCTCTTACATCTGACAGTTTTGGTGTTGTTTCATCAGTTCAGTGTACGTTGTTATTTCTGCAACTTGTTATGCCGTTGTGTTGCTCAGGTGTTAGTTTAACAAGTGGATTTACATCTAAATGGGATTTAGTTAGTTTAAATAAGGATTCATTTAAAGCAAATGTAGCCTGTATATTATGTTATATTTTGATTGCAGCTGCATTTATCATAACTTTTGATATATCCAGTTCAGTCTTATTTTAACATTAACAATTGTGTTCACTTGACATATCTCTGTTTCGATATAGAAGTTCAAAATTCTTAGAAGAACAAAATTAGACATGCATTTTGATATACTGTCATCCTGTGATTTCCTGTACTTCATGTCACATAACAACACGGTAAGAGTAAACAGCATTAAGTGCCCACAAAGTGACTGTATGTATGCTGCTGTGTTGCAGAGACAGCGGCCAGACGGATGTTTTCTTTACTCTCAGCTACCAAAGTGACGACGGCCCGACGAGTGTCCGTGTCCAGCTGAACAACCTGCTGTTCAGTCTCTACGGCAGCACCAGGACTTTTGATTCACTCTTTGCTCTGCTCACTTTTTACACCGGCTCATCCTGTAAACTGACCTCTCCTTATCGTAAGCAGCGTCCGGAGCACCTGACGCAGATGTGCAGGAGGGCTGTGATAGGCTTATATGGAGCAGAACATTTAAGCACCTTACCGGGACTCAGTCCACAACTTAAAAACTATGTTCTGTCGTACCCCTGTTGTATATAGATGATGTTTATGTTGTAAGGTAAACAAATATTCTGTATTTGTGTTATTTTCAATTTGATAAATAAGACAAATACAGCCGAAGCATTTTATCTGCAAATTGTTAAATGGTTATTTGCACACATTTTCATTTATGCATTTTACAAGGTACTAGTAGTTCATATTTGTTCAAGTTTTTCCTCATTTACATTCCACAAATCCTGTGTAAAGGGCCGTCCACACAAAGAACAATATCTATTACAATAACTATTTATATCCTGTATTAAAAATCAAACACTGTGCCGCCGTATAGCTTAGTTGGTAGAGTTGGCCCCCTGTGGAGGACGCAGGTTCAAAGACCAATTCACTTATCAACGCGTGTGTGTCTCAAACATAACTTTAAATATATTATTTTGTATTTAACAAGTGCCAGAAGGAAATTCAAGTACTTGAATCTGTCATTTCTGAACAGGAAAATGAAACTGAAGATTTTATGATTATGTAGCCTCCTTGGGATTTTTACATAAATAGCTCGTTATGTATGCAGGTTATTTGTGAATAAGTAGGCCTCATCTTGTTAACATAATGGCATGCTTTTTTACCTCAAAGAAGAAGTGTGTGTGCTTTTTACATTACATTACATTACATTGCATTTAGCTGACGCTTTTATCCAAAGCGACTTACAATAAGTGCGTTCGACCAACAAAATACAAACTTGAAGAAAACAGAATCATATAAGTACATCAGGTTTCATAGAGCAAAAACATTTCAAGTGCTACTCAACTGGCTTTAGATAAGCCAGTCCTTTATTAGTATATAAGTGCTTTGTTAATATTTCTATCGCTCGAAGTGGAGTGCTTTGCGCTACTGTTATGAGAATGTTATCGTTGATCAGTGCAAATGCTCGCATCGTTGTTTTATAGTTGTAGTTGTGGTTGTTGTTGTGGCTGGCCTAAACTGCTTCAATGATACACCAGTTGTAACATCCATAAAATTGTACAAGTGCTTCTGTTTAAAGCTACATTAATTGATGTTTGGTCACTAGGGGGCAAAAAACATCAATAGAAGCCAACATGTTACCATCGTAATATGTTATGGCTGAACAATTAGCAAACCGTTATTTGCTAACAGCCTCCTGAGGACTAAGATGTTAACAACTTCTCTTTTTCAGCTTGATTTGAACAGAAGCCACGAGCTGCCATGATTGCAATTATCCTTTTTAATCCTGTTATCTCGCAGTTGTGAGTCAATTATCTCGTTATGTCAGGACAAAGGAGTATTTTTCTTTTCATAATGTGTTAATTATCTCATTATTTTAGGAAAATAACAAGTAGGTTTCTCTCGATAATTGGACACATACTTAACTTTTATCAAGAAGGAATAGAGTTTTTTTGGAAGTTATGGATGAATCACAAAATTAAAGTATATAATGTAGCCTACATATCTTCTAATCGGGCTAATTTGCACGTTTAATATAGTAGACAGTAAACAATATCAGCTGGTTTACGTCTTCTGAATATCATTTATATGTTATTACAGGCAACTTTTTGATCCCATTTAGTATCCAGCAACTCCTAAATAGTATCTGTGTTTTTGCTAACTTTTTACTAGCTAGTGAGTTACTGGCTTCTAAGTTGGTGTTAATGAGAGCACCAGAGACTCAATAAGAAAGTAAGTAAAACAGAAACAATCTGCTATAAGAGGCTGGAAGGTTCAACTGTGCAGGGTTGGTGAATATAATCTGTGCTTTCGTGAATAAGAGTAACTCCTTTCACATTATAGTAGCCATTTAATTTAGGTAAAACGTAGGTAACGGTATTGATTAATGCACTTTCAAAGTCTCAACTCTAACCGTCTATTCAAACGCTCTTGAAATAATTTGACATCCCTACTTAGTATTTTCAGTGGAACAACAAAAATGGTGTGTGACGCTTTGTAAAATGTTTTTTGTAGTTTGTGCACAAGAAATAAACATATGTAATTGTTTTAAATTAACAGTAAACCGAGGGCCATGATTTTAAGTCAATAAAGGCCGCTGCATGCCTATTAAACTTCAACAAAAGTGTCTGTTCTTTTGTGCAAGATCTTGGAATTTTGTTGTTGGACTCGCGTGTGCAGCCTGCCTCCAGCGGTCAATCAATGAACTGCAAATGTTTGACACTTCGTACATTGCTCCACTGCTCAGCCAAGGAGGTTGACACTTGATTGCAGCACACTATAAATCAAAAGCTTTTCCTTACTTTATCATTTATACAGTGTAAACACAAATCATACACTGAAAAACAACAACACAAAATTGGTTTGTAGAATGGCATAGGGTAACAACACTTTTTCATTAGACTCACACATTCCTGTTTAACAGCAGCTCACTTGAGTGCTGAGTCACCACATAGTGGGTTTACCCTGCCATGTAAGAAAATGCCTCTAAACTGAAATCTGTCACTGCAATCAGATAATAGTATGCACACAGTTTTGATTTAATAGCAGTCTTCTGTCATGTGTTCCACATCCTGTCCTAAATCTGACTGGCAGTGGCCCCTTTAGTCGAAATTAGCCCTGCACCAGGGACACGTGCACTGCACACACTCTCTCTCTCTCACACACACACACACACACACACACACACACACACACACACACACACACACACACACACACACACACACACACACACACACACACACACACACACCACACACACACACACACACACACACACACAGACACAGACACACTTTTCCTGTCCTCAAATTATCCCTGCCTCATTAACAGAGCCGGCCCGACCCAAGCAACATAAGCGGCCGCTTAGGGCCCCGCAGCCACTAAGGGGCCCCCTAGCAAAAAAAAAAAATGAAAACAAAACAAAAATCTCAGTACACCGTTGCCGTGATAAGTATATTTAATTAATGTTGTTAATATGCCTAGATTGCCTACTCTCAAAGTCATGTATTATATTATTGAGTCAATAATATAATACATTAACCGTGCTTTATCTGAACCTCATCATGACAGAGAGGACGGTAGGAATGTAATTTCCCGTGTTCAGTGAATGCAACAGAGGCAAGACACCAGACCAACCAGAGAGTTGAATAGAAATAAACATCTGTCTTATTGGCTGACAGGTACCTATCCAACCCTGTCTCCTAAAAAGTATGTTCCCACAGAACTAAACTGCATTCTCAATTACGTTTAGCAAGAAACTTATTTTCTCCCACGTTACGTTTGTTATGAACGTATCTCAAATACGTTTATTTTCTACATATTGTGACGACCCCTCCCCCCTTCTGCCTGGCTGTGCTCCCTGCCTTGCTGTCCTCTAGCAGGTGCTGGGAGTGTCGTCCTGTTTGTGCCCGCCCATCTAGAGGCGGAGCCTCTAGAAGGTATAAAGGTTGCCCAGCTGCAAGGATCAGTCTCTGATTCTGATCCTGGCATGCTGCAGCAACCTCAGCCTACAGCCTGTGTTAGGTTTGATGCACCCTCCAACATGCTACAACACCCTTCCACACACCCACACACACTGCTCACACTACTGACAGTCTGATTCTTACGTACACTATTCATCAGAGGTGTTTTTCTTTAACCTGTTAAATAAACAGATATTTGGCATTTAACTCTGTGTGGCCTCCCTATTTGTTCCAGCCTTCAGGCAGGTTGTAACAATATCTTCTAGAAACATATTTTCTCCCACGTTACGTTTCTTATGAACGTATCTTAAATACTTTTATTTTCTACATATCTTTGCCATTTATTGTCTTGCTTATAATAATGATAATAGTCATTTATAAATATCATTTTAGAGCACACATTTGAAATCAGTAGGCGAGGCTGTAATTTTGCCAGAAAATAATAGTTTTTAACATGCCAAAAAGCTGCTGTGTCGTTTATTGCACCTCAAACATTAAAACAAATCCATTTACGTGTTTCTGTACTTCCTCTAAGAAGAAAGGACAGTAACAGAAGATCTCTGTGACGCCAGATGTGGTGTTAATGCGATATGATATCCGAAAAACATTTCAGTTTAGGATGGCCGAAGACACTACACTACCCATAATCCCCAGCTATCGTTTGGGACTACAGTCCTGTTGACAAACCCCGTGATTAATCTTCAAGCTCTGGGATTGGATGTTCTAGTGGCAGTGCGCCAAGGTTACGCCGAGCGTCAAGCTCTTTGAAATGGAACGAAACCACGGCAGACTATTCAAAACTGGACTCGAACGCCCCCCCAGAACTACACATGCTGGCTATTGTGTTTCACAACATGTTCTCTATGGCACGTCTACTGGGAATTGTAGTTTTAAAAGACGTTTTCGTTTTTCCAAAAACTAGAAGTTGACAGTATTAAACTGTGTACAGCCCTGGAGGTTTAGGCGATAGGAAACACATTGGTGTGTACACATTTAAAACATGTAATTACTACATGGGTGAAAATCGCTTGTATCCATAATGGGCAGCATTAATATATATTCTACTCTACTACAATTCAGAGGTTAACCTGGTATTTTTACTCCACTACATTTACTTTAGTAACTCTGCAGATTCTGATTAATGATGTGAAATATAAACAACCCTTAAAGCAGACTTTAGTTACACCTGAGTAAAATTCAGGGAAGGTGATTGTCAAGTGCCAACAATCAGGTGAGATATTTGATAGTTGGTGCTTGAGAAGACTAAACATTTATCTGCAGATCTCTATCAAGTATATTCATTACTCGTTATTCTCTACTAATAGTTAATTAAAAACTGTATATAATTGCTATTTTGCACATCCCTTTCAAGATTTCAAGATTTTCTAAGGTTTATTGACATATCATATACACAACTACGGTGTAGTTATGCAATGAATGAAAATCTTGGGTCACAGGTTCCTCAACAGTGCATTACAAGACATCTATCAATATGTGTGTACCTCCACCATTAAACTGTCAAATTCTGCACATTTCTTATACTATCTACATACATAAGCGTATAATTAATGTGTATAATATCAGTTAAAATAAGTGCTTCAACATAGTTAACATTGCAGGAAAGCAATACATTAGACGTTAAGTACTTTGTCAGGCTTAATATTTATCTGTAGATAGATACCCCCAAAGCTTTTTTCTTATTTGAAAGAAGACCTTAACCTAAAGTATTCTTTAATGTGTTAATAAAGGTTAATTAGTTTGTCTGTTTTGCACATCCTCATATTAATATCTTTGTACATCGTGCACTAAACTGTTTTATTGTAGAGATCACTTACAGTATCTTCTTGATTTTTTATATTCTATACTTCTATCACAGACCTTCTACTTTCCCCCTATGAAAGTATGTACTCTTAATATTTTTGTCATCAAATAACATTATTCAACAAAAATAACATTATTCAACAAAAATAATTCAATAACGTGCTTTAACCACTAGGCGGTGCACACAAGTACACACAGCATACTAATAATAACTTTGTATTATTAGTGTAGGACACTTTTGTATGTATAACATCTGAAGATGTGTAGTTTTATTCATGTTTTTACATAATTTTACAGGATATTGCTATAATATTTCTCATGCTTTACTTCTACACATTAATATCTGATTTGTAAAACATCACAGACAGAAAGCCATATCCGTCATTTAATGGTAAGCTATTGAAATTGTGATTCCATAGCTGTATCTCCCATCACCCAAATTCCCTGACTATTCTCTCAACTCAGTATTTACATTCTTATATTCAAAGAAAATCAGTAATATCTTTAATAACTGCAAGAACTTTTATATCAGCTGTGCACCGTTATGGTGTAAATGTAACCTATCTACCAATTGGATCAAATATAAAAGTCAGCCGAATTAGTATTGATAATGCAAGGAGACGTATTTTGTGAAAAGAAATGCAAGGTGTTGTTTAATTGTTGATATATTTATGATCCACGTCACATATTCAGTTTTGGCGGCAGTTCTCCTGTTTGTCCAGAAGTCTTCTCATCAGGGCTCTATAAATAAAGAACTACAGCAGATGTGTAATATTTAATGCAGCCGAACTGTGTATTACAATGCCGTTATGTGATGACTCCCAAAGAGAAAAGCAACAACACTCGGAATAAAGTATTATTATTATTTTTTTTTCTTTTTTCGGATATCATATCGCATTAACATCATATCCCAACATGCATTGCGGCTAAACATCCAATCAACGAGCTTCAAGCTGAGGATCTTGGGTAATCTGTTCAGTGGGTTTGTGTGTATCCTCAAAATGTCCCTTATAGGTCTGTTTCCGGTGACTTTATTTACGGCTCCAAAGCATGCTAAAAAGCCCAAGATTATAGAATTAAACGAATAAATAAAAACAAGGATAATTGTGTGTTATTGTTGAGATATAAGGAAAAAAAGATTTTCAAAAATATAGATTTCAGTATTTTGAGGCTCTAAGCCCCATTTATTTTCCTCACAGACGGGAAAAAAAGTCTGACATTATACGATTTAAAATAAAAAACATAAAACACTGGCATGTAATTTACGTTAGAATAAATAGAATGGTTTTGAATAATAGATGAGATTAAAATCTACGTCACTTTACAGCACCGCCCAGTTTTGGGGAAACCAACGCTGTCATTTGAACGGCGATCAAGCCTGAAGCCACAGAGATCTTCTGTTACTGTCCTTTCTTCTTAGAGGAAGTACAGAAACACGTAACTCTGGATGTGTTTTAATGTTTGAGGTGCAATAAACGACACAGCAGCTTTTTGGCATGTTAAAAACTATTATTTTCTGCCTCGCTCATGAGAGTAACAGCTGGCGAAATTACAACCTCGCCTACTGATTTCAAATGTGTGCTCAAAAATGATATTTATAAATGACTATTATCATTATTATAAGCAAGACAATAAATGGCAAAGATATGTAGAAAATAAACGTATTTATGATACGTTCATAAGAAACGTAACGTGGGAGAAAATATGCTTCTAGAAGATATGTAGAAAATAAACGTATTTGAGATACGTTCATAACGAACGTAACGTAGGAGAAAATACGTTTCTAGCTAAACGTAATTGAGAATGCAGTTTAGTTCTGTGGGAACGTAATTTTTAG